CTTTTAAGCCAAAGAGATCAGTCACCAGTGCTAAATGGAATCTACCATTTTTGTCCTTGGCAGATCATAATCAGGGCCGTTCTATCAACCACTATCAGACTTTCTGAGGAAATTGAGCATCAACACCTTTTCCTTCTTGTACCCCTTTTTACTCTCAAAAGAGTCCCTGCTTGGGCAATAAATGACATAGTCACCACAACCCATTCGCCAAGTCAGGGCAATGTCCCCATCAAAAATGTCAGAAGGCCAGCCTCCTGTCTCGTGGTGACTGGCAATATAACATGCAAGAAAGGAAAGAAGCTCTGCTTTCCTAGGTCCTGCCTCCCATTTAGCACAGCTTATTTTTCACCTTCTTTACAAAACCCTCAAACATAGCCGCCTCAATCTTCACCTGCTCCTCACGTGTGATTTGTGCCCCTGCAATTTTTCCCATTGTATCTTGATGGCCTTTCCATTAACAGACTCTTACATTCACCTGCCACACACATATTGATATTTCATTATTTTCTCTACACTGTGGGATTACAGGTTTCTCTTTCATCTTGGTTGTGAATTAATATACCCTTCAAAGCTTCAGGGAAGCTGAACTCCAGTTAGCCCTCATTTCTGAGTTCGTTAGAGCTGTTCACTGATCCCTTGTCTTGGTCTCAAACCCTGCTTTTCATGGTCATTTTATGCTTTCAAGGCTGGCCCATCCCCTCTCCATTCTTAGGCTGTTAAACTCCATTATTTTGTGATCAATTGCACTTCAATTCCCTCCGCTTTCAGTGTCAGATTTTAAATGGTCATACTTCACATCTCTCATCTCCTTCGTACAAATTTTGCCTTTGACTGACTTTGTGGTTATCTCACCTGCTTCTAATTTAGTTTAATTGGATTTCTAAGTGATAGCTACAAAATGCTTTAATTTTGGTAAAATGCCCTTAAGCTCCTAAACATTTGTGCTAGAGCAGGAGAGAATTATCAATAGATGTTCATACCTTAAGCAGAATTCTATGATGGGGCAGGAGGCAAGAGGGCTCAATCCATCTAGGGCAAGCCAAAGTGAAATTGTGATGGGCATGTATCTGTCCTCAAAAGGGACAACCCCACCACAGTTTCCTGAGCACACAGAATACTCCTCCATCTTTTCCTCTATTTTCATAGTAAATAATATTATGGCCAATTAGGGAAACCCATTTTTGAAACTGTTTATATGATATGCCAGTGGTGTCTAGAATATCATTTGTACCAACAAAATTATTTATCCCTGCCTAGTGTGGATCTGCTAGGGTTACAGACATGTAAGCTTAATTACATGGATCCCTCCTGGGGACTATGAACCATCAAAGGAGAAGCAGCTACCTTTAACATACAGGTTTTCTATCAGCCCACGGCTCAGATATCCAGCCATGTCTTTATTCATTTCTTGTAATGGATTAAAATTCAACACTATTCAAAAAAAAATATGTCTATCTGGTTGAGAACCATTGTTCTATAGTACTTATTTTCAATTATTTTTATTTTGCATTTGTTTAAACAGTGAGCACTCACCCACATCCTCTTTGCATCAGTCAGGCTTTAAATAGAAAAACAGAAATCACTACAGGTATTTCATACAGAGAGGATTAAGTACAGGAACTGGCTATGGCTATAGGTATAGTACTTCTGGTAGAATTGGTTTGGGGTAATCTGGAGCGACACCCACTCAATCTCCTGCTTCCTTCTCTGATAATCCCATAGGAAACTATTTGACCCCCAGGGTAAGAAGAACCCAGTTTGAATATCTACCTCTAATGACTCTGTTTTCCTCATGCCATCAGCAGAGGATTTAATAATTGATTATCTAAGGGCAAGGAAGAGACATGGCCAGTTTTCCTTACCTAAATGAGGATTTATTATAAAGATATAGGAAATGTGGGTAAACTCTTTGGATTTTAGCATGGTTCCTGGTATATAGCAGACACTTAAAAAACATATCTGAATGAATAAAAGCCACTGTTGTAAAGTGTGTAGTAACTCTGTGTCTCAGATATTCAAATACTGGAAAGCACAGTGGGCATCCAAGTGAATGGGAATAATAACTCCAGGATGTTTACTGTGCAGATTGGGCCCAAGAGCCCCTTACTTTTTAAAAGGGAGTATTTGAAGCGTTTGGGTTGTTCTCACACTGTCAATCTCTTGGTGCATGGAATGTTCCAAACCTGAAGGAGATGGGTCTTTTTCTGCTACAGGCCATTCTGGTTTACACTGACTCAGGCAATGACCTCAGAGTAAATCAGCAAAGCTCAGGATTAAGTGACTCAGTTATGCTTGTGCTGTGTGGCAAAAGCTGTAATGACCTCATGTAAAAAGACTCACTTGGGTCAGTTTTCATCAGAGCGGGAGCTTGGTGATTATATCATTATGATTTCCTCTCCATATTAGGATGGGCAGTGTTCAGGTGATTAACTTGGTGACACAGCAACAGTTTGCAATCATCATACCAAACCACAGCTTAAGTACATTTTTTAATGATTTTATAGAGTTGTAAACCTTGGCTAACTGTCCCTTCCCTATGTTCCTGTAACATCTGCGCCAGACACTTATCAAGTCCCATATATTGAGTTGAAAGTATCTGTCATAGTGCCTGTCTGTAAGTAGGCCACCAGTTCATAGATGGCTGGAAGCAACTTATTCAGTTTTGTATCCCTGGGACAAAGTCTGTGTCGGACTGCTCCTCTTGAACTAAAATCAGCCTCTGGCCTTATATTAATTGTCCCCTAGTAATAATTTGCTTCCTCCAGTATAGAAACAGAATGCCAGCAGGGCACATTACTGCCCAAAAAAAGAGTGAATTTCCCAGCTTTTCTTTCACTGAACAACAGCCATGAGACTCAAGTAATGCCCATGCAATGTGAGCAGAAGTGATTATGCCATTCTTGTGTCTTATTATTGAAGGAATTGGGGGTGAGCACCCCTGTTTGTTTTTCTCACTATTGCTGCTGGGAGATGGGGAGAGCAGGAGCAGCCAAGCCCAATTCCCCACTTAGTGGAAGCCAGGTGTGAACTGTCTACTCCTCTGATTGCAGTATGAAGAAGGAATAAATTTCAGTCCTTTATAGGCCACTGTATATCAGGTTTTCTTTTTAGTTTATATACTAGTTAATATAACACTCCAGTTCCAAATTCCAAATAAATAGAGAAACAGTCAAGGAGATAATAGGAAGCAAATGACACACACACAAAGTAGAAAAACTCAAGGAAGATGTGCTTAATGTGCTTACAAAGGGATTATTATAAGGGTGTGATTGTAGGTGAACCAAAGGAATAGTGCAGCACCCCAGGACTAATAGTATCTGAGCTGTTACCCCTCCCAGCTCTTAAACGCTGAATTAGGGGAACAGTTCCTCAAACTTGAGACAGAGAGGGTTATGGTGAGTTAGAATGCTTGAGGGGATTAGTATCTTTCAGTCAAGGGGCCCCTCTGTCCAAGCAGAACTCACGGAGAAAATCAACACCTTGACCTCACTCTTCTCCCTCACTCTCTCTGCCTCCAGTGCTCCCCACTGGAGAAAAGGAATCAAAAAGGAAGCTGAGCACATGGGAATCCTATTGATGCAACACAGGTCAGCTCTCATGGGCAGAAAACAGCCTAGAAGAGAGTGGAGAATATTTCTCAAAGAGTGCATGAAATACATCCAGCTTGAAGCATCGCTCTGCTCAACAAATGAGGAAAACAAAGGTATAGAGAGAATAGTATTACGTTCTGCTTTTATGTCCTCATCTACCTAGATGAGACGTGGCATGGGTTTTTAAAATTAATTTCTAGGAAGCTGCCCAATTAGGAGTTTGGTAGAACTTATTCCCTCTTGTTTATGATAATGCAATGACAGATTCAATACACAATTCAATAAGCATCCCTTAGACATCAGCTATGTATCAGGCATGGGATAAGCCATTGGGAGCTAGGGTTTCAGGACTAGTCCCTGAGGATGTGATAAACTAGGCATATTTTACAGCTAACATTTTCCTGCAATTCAACTCAGAGTATCCTCAGTGAATTAAGAGAGATGAAGCATGATAATGGCAGCTGTCCACATGTTTATTGAACTCATATTTAGTAAATTCAGGTCTTTTGAGAGAAAGTGAGTGTCTGGTAATGGTATATTGAACAGAATTAGCAAAAAATATTGCATCTAAGACTTCAGGAGAAACTAAAACACTCTAAGTCCTAATGTGATGGAAACCAGTCAGACTTCTTGGAAGAAAGCAACAGAAATCAAAGTTGTCTATCTTAATTAAAAAGAGACTGACTAGAGAGGCATCAAGAGTGAACAGCACAGACGAAGTCTGAAGGGTCAGGGATAAAAAATTGGAAGAATCTAAATATGCTTCTTAAGTAAAGTATATGCCAGTCTGCTATCATAAAGAGATGCTCAAAAGTTGAAGGTTAGCCTTGACAGAATCATTTTCCCAGAAAAATCAGGCTAAACCATACAGTTGGGTCAGCTCTTTCCACAAAGTCAATCAGAAATCCAGGTTTCTTTTCCCATGTTGTTCTGTCACCCTCTAATGTTATCCTTTTTCACAAGGTAAAAGCTTTATTGTTACAATGACCTCATATATACCTGTAGAAAAGGAAAAAGAAAGGTGAATTGAAGCAAGAAAAGGACTGTGTGTTTGCTCCATCTAGTCTATGCATATCCAGTTGTCTGAAATTTAGTCATCTGGCTGCATCCAGATGCAGAGAAAGACAAAAATGTAAGTCTGTTTATATTTATCCATGTGCCCAGCTTAATCTTAACCAGAAATAGGTAAGACTCAGTCACAAGAATGGAACTCCAAAAGTTTGGCTGAGCAGAAACCAGAGCAAACATTACTCTGTAAAAATCTGGTCCATGTTTCTTGTTGGTCACCACAATGAGACTGACCTCTTAATGTCCCTGTAGATATACATCATCCACTGTGTGTGTGCGTGTGTGTGTGTGTGTATACACAGATATATACATATATATACACACATATATACACATACACACACACACACACACATATATATATATATACACACACATACAGTGGATGATGTATATCAATATAGATTTCTTGAGATTTTTTGGAATCTCAAGAAAGAGTGATGTATTGACCTGGCCAAAATCAATGAATGCCTGTATTAATCTGTTTTCACACTGCTATAAAGAATACTACCTGAGACTGGGTAATTATGAACAACAAGGGTTTAATTGACTCATAGGTCTGCATGGCTGGGGAAGCCTTAGGAAACTTGCAGTCATGGCAAAAAATGAAGGGGAAGCAAGCAAGTCTTTCATGGCAGCAGGTGAGAGCGACAACCCAGGGAAAATTGCCATTTATAAAACCATCAGATCCTATGAGAATTCACTCACTATCACAAGAACAGCATGGGGAACGCCACCCCCATGATCCAGTCACCTCCCAGTAGTTCCCTCCATAGACACGTGGAAATTACAATTCAACATGAGATTTGGATGGGGACACAAAGCCAAACCATATCAGTGTCCAACCATAGATACACTGAGGCAGGAAGAAAGAGGACATGGCCTCTTCAAAATTCACAGTGGGATGCACCACTAGCACCTGCCAAAAACAAATGTGATGAGAAATGCCCCAAACTGGAAGCCAAGAAGGAGGGCATTTGTTTTTGTTTGTATGTTTAACTGATTTTGAGAAAGAGAATACTCTATCTCCCAGGCTAGAGTCCAGAGCCATAGTCATAGTTCCTGTCCTCCAGGATCCTCTGGCTTCAGCCTCCCAAGAAACTGGGACTACATTCACCACCAAGCTCAGCTAAATTCTTTTTGGTAGAGAAAGGGTCTCACTGTATTGCCCAGGCTGGTCTCAAACTCCTGGCCTTATGTAATCCTCCTCCTTCAGCCTCACACAGCTCTGGGATGACAGGCAAGAGCCATCACGCCCAGCTGCAACAAGGTAACTGGTATTAGAAAGATGAAATCTACTGTAAGACATATTATTATTAAAAAGTTACCTTAAAATTATTCTATAAAATTTTTGTCCTTCACTTCATTTGTCCATTCATTCTAGCTATATGCACTATAAACTGAATTACCGGTGGCACAATGCTGGAAATATCATTATAAACTTTCTACCAAATTTTTGATCCTTAAAAAAAAAATTCATGATTTTGGTGGATTATGGAATGTTCTTAATTCAATAGCTTCTGGCTAACATCATGATCTCCAGGGACCTTGCTACCATAGTGGAAAGAACATGATTTTGAAGTCTGACAAATTTGGATTTAACCCATGTAATGCAGAGTCGCCAAATAAGTCTGCCTCTTTGAGTTTTGTTTTCTCATCTTTCCAGTGCACATAATAACCTTACCATAGAGAGTCATTTTAAAAGCTAAATTAGAACATGAATAAAAACCGCTTCGCATGTGGTAGGGATTTGTGATTATCAGGGTCCCCCAGCTATGCTTCATTTAGTTGACAAGAAAATATGATGGCTGCTTCAGGGATACAACATACATTCCAGTTAAAAAGTGTTGTTTCTGGCCAAAAAACATATGGCCAATACACATGAATAACTTGAATTGCATAGGCAGTTTTTCTAATGAGGAATTCATCCTCACCCAAATTATGATTTAAGCATGTCTGGAATTGTAAACAGTTAATAGTGTGAGATCTGATGGATCTACAGAAGTGGGTCAGCAAATTTGCAAAAATGATCTCACCAATTTGTATCCTAGTATAACTTTCAAAAATATAAAAGCATGATTCATACAATCATAAAATAACTACCTAATGATTAATCCAGATCATTAATTGAAGACGGAACCAGTTAGATAATGAAAGTAGTTTAAAGAATTTTAGGAACGATAATGTAGATAGTCAACAGCATACTAAATTAATTTAGATATAAAATGGAGTAATGCCCCATAGAGCAGTGAAACTATAACCTTAATATTATCTCTCTTTCTGGAGAAGCAGCTACAGGTTAGTATGTGACATTTTAGTTAGTATCTGTGCTCTAAACAAACAGTAAACTGCAAGTTCAAAGAAATGTCCATTCTCCAAGATAATTAAACCTGTGTGGCGCCTCTCTTAGTCCATTTGTGTTGCTAGAAATCAATACTGGAGGCTGGATAATATACAAAGAAAAGAGGTTTATTCGGCTCATGGTTCTGCAGGTTCTACAGGAAGTATGGTGCCAGTGGCTGCTTCTGGTGATGGCTTTAGGAAGCTTTTACTCAGGGTGGAAGGGGAAGAAGAGTCAGAGTGGGTAGATCATTTGGTGAGAGAGGAAGCAAGAGTGAGAGAATAAGGTCCTAGGCTTTTTGCAACTGGAAATCAAGGGTGAGAACTGACTCACTCCTTTGAGAAAGACACCAAGCCACTCATGTGGGATCTGTCTCTAGGATCCAACCACTTTCCATCAAGCTCTACCTCAAAGCTTGGGGATAAAATTTCAACCGGAGACTTGAGGAGCCAAATAAACCATACCTAAATCACAGCAGAACCTGTAAAACGCCATTCTGATATGACATCGAAAGGACATAAACTCACCCCTTCTGCTTTATTTCCAAGGTTTTGATACATTTTTTTCTAACAATAGTAAGCCCAGTGTTGTTTGACTACACCACCTAAATACGGTTACTGATTAGCAGCCTTAGTTGGGTTATTAAAACAAATTAACTTCATACATTGCTGTTTTCAACTTTGAGATTAACAGATGCAACAATAGTCAAAATATCAGGTTTATCATTTAAATTATTTGTCTAAGGGGTGCAACAACTCCCTCTTTCTCTCACTTCCCTTTCTTGAGTATAATTTTACATTCCATTAAAAACAAAATGACATAAATGCAACAAGTTTTTGAACAGCAATAGAAATTACTAAATTTCCACAAAGTTATTAGTAATCATTTATCCTCAAACATTTATGTACAAGAAAACTCTCATCTGTTCCATCTGCCCATAGAAACCTTTGCAACTGAAGATAAGGAAGATAAGAATATTTTAAGGTTCACATCCTCTTAAGTAAACTAGAAATTTAGGTTGTAGGTGACAAACTATCTGGTAGCTCCAGGGCTGGCCTGAGGCAAAACTGTAAAATCTGTGAAGTGTGATTTCTGTGTTCTCAAGCCCTCTTCCTGGATCCTCCACTTTCCTCAGCCCATCTGTCAATATTCACTGATCTTGGCTATTCAATCTACTCTCCAGTGATACCCTGCTTTAGGCTGCTTTTTCTAGCAGATGCCTGAGACATGAGAACTTTCCCATCTGAGGGAAAAAGAAATTCCTATGCCTGCATATATCTAATTCATTGCACATGCACAAATCCTTCTGTAAATAATTTCTTCTAAATATAAAAAACTGGTTGGTGCTCATAAGTCAGTTCTCTCCTCATCTAATGTAATAGCCTGGGGAGTGGGGGAAAGAGTATTGCAGTATCGTGTGTGTGTGTGTGTGTGTGTACCCATGACACACAGTTACCCTGTTGGTAAAGAGTAATCAATAATGTGAATTTTTGGAGAAAGTTTGCTTTAGGATTTCTCTACAATTAGCAGTCTTACTGGGGGGACCTTTGTTGACTTAGATACTGCCTCTTGATGTTCAGACTAACTCTGGCCTCCACCTTCATTAATGAAGCCTATATTATGCCATGAGTATGATATCAGATCAAATATCATTTTTTTCTCTTTCATCTTCTCAGACATTGAAGAGTCCATATACATGGAAAGGTCTTTTTACTAAGAGAAGTGACTTGAAAAGGTAATTTTAAAATGACCTATGTCTTAGTAACTATGTGAGGGAAATTTTCAGTGCATAACACAACCAGGGTACTTCATATAGCCCCTGCTTGTGTGGGTGTTTCATGCTGATTGTTCTCCCATTTAAAAATCTACCGTATATGCATTTCAAGGGAAAGTGCAATTATGGTAATGTAACCTCACTACTATATCATGGGCATAATTTATTTCAAGTAAAAATGTATCAATTGAATATCTACCATATAATTGCACTCCTCATATTGCAAAGAATACGAACATCATGCAATATACAAGAGGTTCTCAGACTGTCTTGGTTTACAGAACCCTTAGTTTCTCATTCGTTTTTTTTTTCTTCAATGAAAATAAAAAAAACCTGTTTCATTTATTAAATAATTAGTTCCAACATGCTTATGAAGCACCATATTTCTATTATAACAACTTAGCCATTTGAAAAATAACTGAAAGGAAATATAACATTTTTATTTTATTCATATTTACTAATAAAATATATATGCCAGTTAAACACCCCACAGATTCTCAAATATTGAGATCAAATTGGACACTGCTACCCTCATTTTTTGCCCCGTATTACTTTTGCACAGTACTTGTTTATTATCATGAACACCACCAAAAAAGGAGTTTGGGAAAAAAGTGATGTTATGAAAAGAAATATAGCATGCTCTAATATTAAAATTGTGAACTACCGGATAAATAAAATTTGGCCCAAAACTCCCTGCATATGTAGTGGATTGTAACTAATTGAATATGTAAACAAATACTCAAATTAGGGTATATTCTTGTAACAAGTAACCTGGTCTCAGCCAAGCAGCCAAGGCTTCAGCCAATCACAGGCTGCAAACTGCTCTGACAATAAGGCAAACATCCAGCTGTGACCAATCAGGCTATTTCTGTATGTCACTTCCTTTTTCTCTCTATAAATACTGCCTGCCCATGTTGCCGAGTAGAGCTCTCTGTAGTTTTCCTAGTTCAGGTACTGCTAGATTCATGAATTGCTTCTTTGTTGAAGTAAACTTTGCTAAATTAAATCTGCCTAAGACAAGTTTTTAAACACACCTCAAGCAGCTTGTAGTTAATACAGTGACTGACAGATGCCAACTGCCATTCTTTCCCTTGAAAATTTAAAGTAACCAGCAATGTACATTCACTGTGGTGCCTGGGAGTGCAACGGTGTACAGTTTGGGGGCCGTGCCAATGTATGCTACTATTTAAATTCTCAAAGAATTTAAATTTCATTAAGTACTAATCAATTCAGTAACTATCATGAAAATAAGAAATCTATTTATTGAAACCAGCATTTGGAAAGATCACCGCTGGCTCTAAGAAAAAAAAAAAGGTGAATTTTAGAAGAATCTTGAAGTTTGGGTAGCATTTTGACAGGTAAAGATGGAGATGCTGGGTGTGCCTGTAATCCCAGCACTTTGGGAGGCTGAGGCGGGTGGACCATGAGGCCAGGAGATTAAGACCATCCTGGCTAACACAGTGAAACCTCGTCTCTACTAAAAATCTAAAAAATTAGCTGGATGTGGTGGCATGTGCCTGTAATCCCAGCTACTCTGGAGGCTGAGGCAGGAGAATTGCCTGAATCCGGGAGGTGAAGGTTTCAGTGAGCCTAAATTGCAACACTACACTCCAACCTGGGCATCAGAGCAAGACTCCATCCCCCCCCCCCCAAAAAAAAAGAAAAAGAAAAAAAAGATGGAGACAGTAAAGATGTAGAAATTGTAATGTCAGAGTTATAGATTATAGTAAATGTTCTGATGAAAACACTGTAGACTGAAAGACATAGCACACAGACACAACCCTCAGAAATCTCATTCTACTAAAAGAAGCCTACCAAGTTTCCTAATCTGACATGGAAGACATGGATCGGAGATAAAGAGTAGGAGGGAGTTATCAAAACTAAGGCTAGAATATGGATTTTGCCATATTTAAAATACTTTTAATGCCAGTTTAAAGAAATAATAGACAATAGAAAAGAATTTAGACCTCTCTTACTGTCATTACTAATAAACAATTGGGTAATATCAACTAATTATCTTACCACATATGTGACCATAAAAAATTATTGAGGTAGGCAGATAAACTGAGGTCAGGAGTTCAAGACTAGCCTGGCCAACATGGTGAAACCCCATCTCTACTAAAAATACAAAAATTAGCTGGGCATGGTGGCAGTTCCCTGTAATCCCAGCTACTTGGGAGGCTGAGGCAGGAGAATCGCTTGAACTGGGAAGGCAGAGGTTGCAGTGAGCCGAGATTATACCACTGCACTCCAACCTGGGCGACAGAGCAAGACTCTGTCTAAAAAAAAAAGAAAAAAGAAAAATTAGGAGCAGAATTTGCTTCCTACAGCACAGCCACGGACCTATCAGATTAATAAGCAAAATTTCCAAACCAGATCAGCAAAATCACCTGAAATTGAAGGGAATAAATTATTATTATTATTATTATTATTGGGCTCAAGCTATCCTCTCACCCACCTTAGCCTCCTGAATAGCTGGAACTACAGGCATGAGCTACCATGCCTACCTAATTTTTGTATTTTTTTTTCTAGCAAAGGGGTTTCTCTATTTTTGCCCAGGGTGGTCTCAAACTCATGAGCTCAAACCATCTACCCACCTCAGCCACCCAAAATGCTGGGATTACAAGCATGAGCCACTGCACCTGGGCAGAAAAAATTGTTCTTCTATTTCTATTCATTTTCCAAATGAATCATATTCTACCAAACTATTGCTCTCTCTGTCTTGCCAAACCAGAATAAATATATAAGTTCTGGCATAATAAAACATTAATAATTTGATGTATCACTTTTAAAAGTGCTTGGGTAACACAGACACAATTTATAATTTAGGAGATACTGACTGATATGGTTTTAAGCTTAAGTTTAAATATAACGTTCGTATATTTAAACGTTTACTAAGATTTATCAGAAATCCACATGGCCTAGAAATATACACATACTGCACAAGAAATTACTACAGTACTTCATTAAAAGTAATCTCCCTCAAGGTGTTATTATCCATTCATCAACTAAATTGTTACACATAATAAGCACAACAAATATTTTATTATGGCTGTCTTAAATTAGGACGAAGTTCTTGATGGGTTAAAGCCTTCCGAAACCTTGTTCTGAATAGATATCCTGAGTAGAAACCACAAAATTGGCCTTGGGGATTATGGTTCTAAAAACTGGCTTGAGCCTCATTAGTAACAAGCATCAGCATAACTAAGATATATAAGGATCATTTCAATTACAAATAGATCATCAGGTCTAATCTCTACAACTATCCATAATCTACTGATGATATTTCTTTTATTGATGAGAAAACTAAAGCTCAGAATTTAATTGATGGCTGAAGATTATAGTTCATAAAAGATACTATAATGTAGGGCATCTGACTCATATTTTGTATGCCTTCTAATAAATATCTTGCCACAGGTAAAATAATGATAGATCACCAGCTGTGACTTGAGGAGCTCTATCATATTTTCCAGCCAATAAATGCATCTTCTCTTCCCTGACAGGAGTGCAAAGATCTGCCATTTTGGCCATTTTGTTGAATTCAATCATTAGGTAGGTACCTTTCAAAATGAAAATGTTAACTTGGTTGGAGATAATATATGTGAACACTTTTAATACACTTCCTGACACATAAAAAGCATCCTATAAATGCTTGTTATTATTTTTTAATGAATGCATTAACACTCAATCTATTAGTAAGGAGTCATTTGTCAAATTAACTGTCACTTCACAGAGTACAGCCAGAGAGAATAGGACAAAGAGATAAATTTGGGAATAGGGAAGGAAAAAAAAGGGTCTGTTCCAAATGACACACTGATTCAGCGACGCTGGCAGATGGGTTACTGTGATGCTTTCAATATTGATGTTATTTAAGAGAGAAGGATACTGCAGCCACACCTTACCTTCTTCATAGTTTTTCTTCAGGGCAGCCATCGGAGTTGTTTTTATCTTTCCTTGCTCTCTTCTTTTTAGTATTTGAGTGCTAACAATCTGCTCTTAGTTGCTGTATTGCTGTTATGGAAAGAGGCGATTGGAAGACACCATTCAAACTTAAAGAAAACCTAAGCATCATATTAGCACTAGGCTGCCAAATTCCAGACCTCCGTTGGCTCACCTATGATCATTTCAAGGGTTTGAAAATACTGCCTTAAGAAGCTGGATGTGACATCTTGTGTGTATTCATCTTTGTCTTTCTTTTCATTCAATGTAGCTTCATAAACTTCCGTTAACTCTTGCTCAGACAACATTTTCTAGGGGAATTTCGTAATCTGTCTTCAGCTACAATCTCTTCCCTAGCTTACAGTTCCTACCCCCGTCAGGACCATCTGCACTCTCGCTCTTCCTGAGGAAGAGTGCTTTGTACCAATTCTTTCTCCCTTTCACACATCTTCCTACATGGAAAAAATATACAGATATAACTTCCAGCTGACAGGCAACTTTTAAACACTAGGGTTTATAATAACTCTGGATAATGTCTTCCAAATCTGACTTATTTCAAATCATTTAAAGCCAGAACTACTGAGTCATATAAGCCAGAAACTCAAGTTTTGCAATATAAAATCTCCTGCAGACTCAGCTATAGACACAGACTTTATAACAATGAATGACATGATCTTCTCCGGGAAGATTACTGGGTTCTGTCTGTCAAGTTCAAGTTAACAAATCCCTTTCCAAAGGGCTCCATTTACTAATTTTAGGGATTTACACAGATAGTGAATATGTTCTCTGACCACTGAAAAAAATTATCCTGTCTACAGTAGTCATATTCGCTCCTCTTCCTACTCAAGTTAATAATTTCACTTCTGAACCCTTTAAATACTTGTTTATCATAAATACATGTATATGTATGAATGGGTGCTTATAAAATATTAAGTTTGGTGACTTTCTATGGAAACTTGAACATTATTCTCAATGACCACCTGGAGTTGCAGGGCCATAATGAACTATTTTCAAGTCAAATAGTTCATTTAGAGACTCTTGATTTTGACAACACATTGGAATCATCTCAGAAACTTTAAAAATGCAAATACTTGTGTCCCTCTCTGAGAGATTCTGATTTAACTGGACTAGAGTGTGGCCTGAGCATCGGAACTTTTACAAGCTTTTTGGGTGATTCAGCTTGTGCCTTTTGTCAGTGATGGATACTGATACATATTAGACTTGTTACATGCTTTTATAATGTAGAGAATTTAGCATGTGTACCTACTATTGACCAGCGGCTATGCTAAGCATATTGCAGTATCTCTTTTTATTCTTTAAATAATGCTATAAAGACGGTATTTGCTGTAATTGCTAACTTTTGCAAAGATGACAAACTAGTTACCACTCATGTCTATACAATGAAGCTTGAGATAAAAACTCAGAAATAACCAAGCTGGGGAGCTTCCAGGGTAGAAAACACATCTTTGAGCCAGAGATTGGGAAGGGCCACCCTGGCTCCATGAAGACAGAAGTTCCTGGGCTGGAGCCCCTTCAGATCTTGTCCTCTGTACCTCTTTATGCAGTCTTTTATCATTATAGAGAAGGTATATTTATTATAACAAACTGTAATAGTAAGTATATATATATATATATATATATGTAACTCTTGGCTGCTTCCCCTCCAAATCAAATACTGGAGAAACTCCCGAAGCAAGAGAGAGCAAGGATCTAAATGAAACACACAACTGTCAGAAACTAGCAGAGTCTGAAAGCTCTTGTGCTCTGGAAGATGTGTACAAAGACAGGAGGGGTTATGGTGTAGCCTGGAACAGAGATGGACAGAGTTGGGGAGGAAGGAGGGAATAAGTTCTGCTGTTACCTCTTTGCCAAACCTGCACCCCCTACACATGCTGAGGAGAAACAGTCATTAGTGACAGCATCACCTCAGGAATTGACAGCCACCACAGCCCACAGAGAAACAACGGCACAGGACAAACACCCACTGCGATGATGGGTTGATGAATCAGATCCTGGTGGTTAGACACCCTCAGTCTTCTGTTTCTCCACATTCAAACTTCTAGAATTAGAAGAAGCCATTTTGGCACTTCTCAGTACAGAATCGTTTTTAGAACTTAAATGTCGATTCCTAACTAGAAGAGACCCTCACTCAGTGGATGGAGAGCAAATGAGTGTTGTCAAGACTAACCCAGGAAGACCACAGCTCAAATCATTTACTTTGCTTAAAACTGGAATTCAGAACATTTCCTTCAGTTATGAATATGGAAAATTACGGTGGAATTAGCAATACCTGCACTGTGTCACCATTGAATCACAGGTATTTTCTAATCACATTGCAGTTGTTGAAAATATTCTAAAATAGCCTTTACTGATGTAACTCCTTCAAAATTTCAGCAATTAATTATTATACATGCTACTGGATTTTATTTATCAATAAAAACATATCAATAATTTTAACAATATTTTTTAATTTTTTTTTTTGAGATGGAGTCTCACTCTCACCCAGGCTGGAATGGAGTGGCGCAGTCTTGGCTCACTGCAACCTCCACCTCCTGGGTTCAAGCAATTCTCCTGTCTCAGCCTCCCGAGTAGCTGGGATTACAGGTGCACGCCACCTGATTTTTGTATTTTTAGTAGAGACAGGGTTTCACTATATTGGTCAGGCTGGTCTTGAACCTCTGACCTCTGCCAATCCACCTGCTTTGGCCTCCCAAAGTGCTATGATTACAGGTGTGAGCCACTGCGCCCAGCCTGTGCTAAGACAATTTCAATATAATTGATTTTCTTAGGAACCACATCTTATGCATTCAAAAAATTTTTACAAGGTTTCCATAGGCTTTCTCAAGTTGCCAAAGTGGTCCATGCCCAAGAACAATTAGAAAACCCTGCCTTTCTCACCAAAATAAACATAGAAGGACCTATGGGTCTACTATAATACATACGCCAGACTATGGTAGATGGTGACTTGATAATCAGCATTAATTCACATCCCCTCCTACTTTGCCTTTCTATACTACAAAGGCTAGAATACTATGAACCGAAATCAACCAGACTTCCAGTACAATAACTGCTAGTTCATAAGATATGTGTGTATGCATGCATACATTTCTCTGGGCTTCCTATAATCTATACTTATATCTCTCTGCTGATGCCTGTGTGCACAGGTGCATGCACACACACTACTTTTCAGAGTGAGTGTGCTCCCCTATTCTCCCACCAGCAGAATTCTAAATCCCTATCATTTGGAAATGTCCAGTCCAGTGAAGGAGTTCGAGGCAATCCAGACGTTCATCACAGGAGGAATGGAGAGATAAAATACAGTGGTGCCACACAACAGAATGAAAAGTAGCTTTCTACACACACAACACAGATCGATCTTTTAAAACATAATATTGAGTTGAAAATATTTTAAAAAGCTAGATCTATTGAACAATATAATTTATGTAAATTAAAGTTATATGCAAACAAAGCAATAATATGTTTTACAAGAACGGATATAATACATATCAAAAAAACCTTTTTAAAACTGAAGTAATGGGGCTGAACAATGAAAATAAAAATGAAATTGGTAAATACAACAAGAACCTTACATGCATCGATGACAATAGTGTCCAATGAGCTGAGGAAGATGATTAATTCAGTCCTCTGCATCTTAGCACCTCCTTCCACCAAGAAAAGAAAACACAACTCAAAAGGGAAGTGATTTTCCCTAACTTTTACAGATAACCAATGATGAAGATAAGTTTCAAAGACAGGTATTGCCTTCCAAATTATGGTAAGTAAGAGGCGCACACATGGCACCATGTGAGTTTACACTTACCTTTCAGTTTGCCCATTGGAACTATTGCCTGAGGTGATATTTATATACAAGCATTCCTGTTTTCTAGAAGAGAGTAGTGAGGCTCATAGATATCACCTAACAGATCACACAGTTAGGAATTCAAGCCAAATTGTTCTGACTTCAAAATTCACGGATTCTGATGTACAGCATGATCTCAACGAATTCTCCTGCCACTACATCCACTGTTTAATTTCATTAGCATTTTATATAAGGTGTGACTTTCCAAACAGCCACACTGAATAATGAAGTCCCTATAGACCTATAGAATTAACACCAGACAATAAGTCCCTGTTCATTCCCTGTTTCCAAAATGTTCACCAATAGCAAGCTTTTTTTTTTTTTTCCTTGGTATTTCATCTTGGAAGTGAGCTGCCAACCATGGTTGGAGAAACATTTCTTTTAAATGGTATGGTCTGTCCATACATTTTGTATGGCCATTAACATTAAAGAGTAGTCAGCTACATTTAGGGAGTGTTCCAAGAAGGGTTTGGAGGCACTGATACAGAATCACTCTTTCTATTAAATGTGAAATAAAATTTGTTTTTTTTCATTACACAAAGAAATAAAAGATCAGAAGTGATTCAGGGATCTCAGGTGGATTGTGAAGGAAAAAAATAAAAGAATGGGGAAAAATGACAGGGAAGCAAAAAAAATGTTTAGTACAATTTTTTTTTATTAAAAGTCATCTTCAGGGAAATTTAACTATAGAGACCTGAGGGTAAAAATTTTTTAAATAATGATTCTCTTTCTTAACTAATTGATCTGCCTAACATGACACTTAGTCTTCCAAGTGTTCTCCTGAAAGTCTGGGCAATATATATTGATGGCATTCCAGCTTTTTTCCATATAAAAAGGCAAATTAGGTGGAGGTATGGGTGAAGGCTGAGCATTAATTCACCATCTACCACAGTCTGCTAATATACATTTTAGTAGACCCAAAGGTCCTTTTATACTTTTTCTAGTGAGAAAGGCAGCGCTTCCTAATTGTTCTTGGGCCATGGACCCCTTTGGCACATTGAGAAAACTTATGGAATCCTTCTCAAGATTTTTTTGCAATGCACAAGATAAAATTCATGTGATTACTAAGGAAACAAAATGAGCTCAAGCAACTCATTTGTTTGTAGAACGCACACACAGACATGTTGCTATTTATGGAAGGGTTAAGAGCCTTCTAGGAAAGGACTGAAAATCATCTGGGAAAAGGTAATGTCATCTCTTCTCTGATTAATGTGAAAGATGGAGACAGTTTCTAAATCTTGAAGGAATATGAAGTTTCAATAGTGCCAGAAACAGCTGTCTTCCTCTGACGTTTAAGGGAGCTCTATCCAGAAGGACTTGATTCTAGCATCACCTTGCAAAAGATTTTCAAGGCAGTTGATATTACTGTACATAGGAAAGAAACCAGAATATTGTAACTTTTACAAGTCTGTCTGTTTTATCTGTCCTGATACCTTCTGACCACCAGTGCCCCAGCCTTCTTCTTCCAGCTAAAGCTTCCAAGTTTTGCTACAAATGCAGAACTGGTTGAATTTTTCCAGTTCTAAAAGGATGATTACATTTGCATTTCCAATGTGATATGTATTCCTTTCTTAGAAGAAAACGGTCTTTGAAGTAACAGACAGAAGAGATCAAGCAGCTAAACCCAAAGCATAGCAGGATTACACCTCGCCTCTCCTCCATCTCTTTCAATGATATCCTTACCAACAGCTATCACACTTCAGTCGTACTCCCAAGAAAATTAGAACAAAAATCATTGAAATAATTAAGAACATAAATACCTAATGATTAGTTACTACAAGACACAGTGCTAGATTCATGGAGTGTCAAGAGCAGTAGGTATATACAGAGCTCTTATCCTAATTGAAACTAGCGTTTAGCAGATACAATTTGTTTTTAATGAAAATTTTACTGAGTGTCTATTTTGTACTATATAGATGCTAGGTACTCAAGATTATTCTATTTCTCGTAACAGCCCATTGAAATAGAAAATATTGATGTACTTCGCAAATTAATAGAAAAAAAAATGACTCAGGAAAAACAAGCCATTTTTCCAGATTACAAAATTGATAAGCAAGAGTCTGAATTCCAGCAAAGTCTACCTGATTCAAGCAAGAGTCTGAATTCCAGCAAAGTCTACCTGATTCAAGCAAGAGTCTGAATTCCAGCAAAGTCTACCTGATTCAAGCAAGAGTCTGAATTCCAGCAAAGTCTACCTGATTCAAGCAAGAGTCTGAATTCCAGCAAAGTCTACCTGATTCAAGCAAGAGTCTGAATTCCAGCAAAGTCTACCTGATTCAAGCAAGAGTCTGAATTCCAGCAAAGTCTACCTGATTCAAGCAAGAGTCTGAATTCCAGCAAAGTCTACCTGATTCAAGCAAGAGTCTGAATTCCAGCAAAGTCTACCTGATTCAAGCAAGAGTCTGAATTCCAGCAAAGTCTACCTGATTCAAGCAAGAGTCTGAATTCCAGCAAAGTCTACCTGATTCCACGCCTCATTTTATGCATGATCAGTCGTTTCCATGAAAAGGCCTCTTTTCTTCATTCTATTACCTATATTTCGGTTTGCAGAATTTTAGTCAGTAACAATTTATACCGTAGGATTTCTTTTTGTTTTTACTTCATCTAGGTATTTCTAACAATGTCTTAAAACTAATACCACACTTATTTATCTCTTAAACTGTCTTTTCTTGGTCACCTATAATATAGGGGCTGTTAGGATAGCATTTGTGCCTCTTCCATGGAGTAGAAAATTCTCTTCCTTCATTCTAGAGATTGAAACAAGACTGACCATTTGCACTATTGCATTAGAACCTTGGATATTATTTGATTTCGTAAAGAAAATTGATAGTCAATGACATGGAGATGTTTTCAAGAGTTTGCTTTGATCTAATAGTTACAACCTGATAATATGATTCTTTTATAAATCAAGTGTTATTTCTTGCAGAAAACCCAGACATATGTCTAAGGATGTTTTTCATGATCTCGTCTAAGCCACTCCAATGAGGAAAGAAAGAGAGAATGCTGCTCCTTTTTCATCCAGCATGAGAAATGTGAACTTGAAAAAGAATAACGTGCCAAGGATTCAAATAAACACATTTCCTTGTATGTGCCCTACAAATGCAAAGTTCTCTCCAGGCTTTGAACTGAATCCAGCAGTAGGCAGGACCACCTACTGTTTTCTCTCTTTGTTGACCTAGGAGAGATGATTCATGCATTGATCAAGAAGGAAACAACTATCCATCAAGGTAAGAGCCTTTGGCTGTACCAACCATCAGCAAACCCAGCCAGCATGCTCCCTACATTAAAGTACTCTAGCACATTAATTTCAAACCTGCACCCTGTAGGTATATTCAGAGCAGTCCCCAGCTACTGTCCTACAGACAAATAAATCACATTTAATAGGTACTGTGCAGCATCTAATATTATCTACATATATATTCCATAAAAATTATCATCTTATGGCAAACTTTTCAAATACCCTATACCTTAGAGAGAAAACACATACACATGCACACACAATAGTAGTGCTAGTAGAATGAATATTAATTTGCAGTAGTAATTAGTGCTAGTAGTAGTATTAATATACAATATTAGGCTAGTAATCGTATTAATAAAGTAATTTATACAGTTTGAAGCATCACTCATTTGTCAAGAAACAAAATCATAGGCAATCAGAGTTGAAAAAGCTTGTTTCTTTGTTGCTTCCTACCCTCGAGATCCCCCTTCTACAATATTAAAACTCAAAAGTCACTTGGTCTCTGGTTTTACTCTCAAGCAATAGCAATAAACCTGTGTTATAAGGTCCATTTCACTTCTGGATAAGTCTAAGTGTCAGAAATTTCTTCTATATAACCTCAAGCCTATCTTTTATGTCTTCCAACCATTGATCCTAATTAACCCATTAAGTTTATAGAGAGAAACCAAATCCCTCTGTCACATGACAGCATGTCAAATGTGACCATGATTATTACTTTGGCAATTTCTCTGAGTATTTTCAAGGTCTTCCTTAAGGTCACTATTCCTAGCAATTCCAATGACTTTGCTCTTAAATCTACCATTTCTAATAGACTTCCCATTTCCCCCCAAATGTAGCCTACTATTTTTTGTATAGTCACCAAGAGTATGGAGGATTAGACTTAGCTTTCTTGAGACACTCCTCATTCAGGGTTGGATGAATTTTTTAATTTAATTTTAATTTTTTATTGAGATGGAGTCTTGCTCTGTTACTCACGCTGGAGGACAGTGGTACAATCTTGGCTCACTGCAACCTCTGACTCTAGTTCAAGCAATTCTCCTGCCTCAGTCTCCTGACGAGCTGGGACTACAGACATGCATCACCAGGCCCAGCTAATTTGTGTATTTTTAATAGAGGTGGGGTTTCATCATGTTGGCCAGTCTGGTCTTGAACTCTTGACCTCAAATGATCAGCCCAAAGTGCTGAGATACCAGTATGAGCCACTGTGCTCAGCCTGGATAAATTTAAATAACTCTGGTAAGAAAATTGTTTTTAAATGATTTATTTTGGAAAACGTTCAGGCTTGCAAAACAGTCACATGAGTAGTATAAAGCATTACCTTATATTTTTCCCCAGGTTTCCCCAAATGTTAACAACATAGAGTATAATTTTCAACATCAGAAAATTAAAATTAATTTATAATATTCTTAATAGACTTTTTATTTCAAATTCATCTTTTGCCCTACCGTTTCTCAACTCAGATCCAATCTAGGATCATCTAGAAAATGAGAAAACTCAAAGCTCACCAAAAGCCTACAGTGAGTGAGAGTAATTTTGTGCATTTTGCCCTATAATTCTACTCTTTACCCTACCCCAAAACAAAAAGAGTTATTCAGAAATTTTATTTAAATAAAACCTCACTCTGGTAAGAGGAATGAGAAATTAGTTCAGAGCAACTCAAAGCCAAGGTGGTAACCATGATAAGCAGCTTTTACATAAGGCGAAGTCAAAGGCTATTTCATGTGAATAAAGTAAATGGCCTTCGATTCTCCTGGAACCGATTCACAGAGAGGCTGAGATGTTATCATGACTGTGCAGAGGAGCAAGAGAATCTCAAAGAAACCCAAGGCGTTAATTAAAGCAATTAAAACTTCTTTTACCATAACTAAAGGGGAAAGAGCAACCTTCTCTCTTACTCTGTGCCCGTCCTTGAGACATTCTTCCACCAAAACTGACAGAAGGATCAGTACCTCCTCCCTGGATAAGTCAGATGTGCACAGGCATCTAACTCAATGCGTGCGCTTGAAAGTGAACTGTTGAATGTCAGTCTTCACACAATTTCCCACAAATTAGTGTACTTATACTCCTTCAGAAGCATTTCTAGTTAAAAAAATTATATACCCACGAATATACATGAATTCACAAACATACACACGTATATATCCTGAAGAGGCTACATGTATTTTGTGGGTTGACTTTACACAAAAAAGGATGAACTGAAAGGGATCAATTAGGATGAACTGAAAGCAGAAAATGGTAAGCCAATCATTGATTTCACTGGAGAAATGAGAAACAGCTTCTCACTAGCTAGAGAAAAATATTAGATTGAGAATTCTAATCTTAATCTTGCAGATGTCAGGTGCTATAAGCCCAAGATGCTGACATTCTAATGGCAGACACAGATACACAAACATAGTTGTAAGACTTTGTGCTAAATGCAAAGATAGAGGTGAGTCCTTGTTGAGAGAAAGCAGGACCTTGTAAAGGAAGAAGAAACTGTAGATGAGAGTAGGTATCAAGTATTATGTGGAAAGCAGTTTTGTGACAGCCCCATTAGTTAAAGGGAAGTGTGACTGAGCCCTCAGTTGATAATGAACCCTGGTGACCAGTATGTGACTCTCTCCTCCTATCAAAAACCTATCAAAGGCCAGTCTTCCTTTTGGGCACAGGCTCTGTCTTCTGTACTTACTCAGGATCCTACTCCAGCAACTGCTCCTCTTTCCTATGTCACAAGTCCCTACCTTAGCGGACTATTTTCATTAGCATATATGCAAACCATCATTTTCCCATCTAAAAAATAATAATACGCTCCTATAACTAAAGTTTCTTTAATCTACTTCCCAATTTATTTTATTCTTCTCTAAAAACCTCCCGAAAAGAATTATTTATACTTGATTTATTCCATTTTTCTACTCCTGTTTCCTCTTAATCAGATTCCAATCAGGCTATCAACTATCAAGATTACTAGTGGCCTTCACTTTAAATATAGTGGTCAATTTAAGCTGTAACTCAGTATTTAGAAGAATACTCGACACAGAGCAGGTGCTCAAGAATTATTGGTTAAATACCTGGATACATGAATGGAGCTAACATATAGTCAAGAAGGCCTTTTGAAATTATACAACATAGGGCTACATAGGTATACCCAGAGTAAAAAAGTAAGGATAATATTTGCAAAACATACTTTAAAAAATGCTTAATGAGGCTGGGTGCCGTGGTTCACGCCTGTAATCCCAGCACTTTGGGAGGCTGAGCTGGGCAGATCACCTGAGGTCAGGAGTTCGAGACCAACCTGGTCAACATGGTGAAACCCTTTCTCTACTTAAAAAATACAAAAATTAGCCCGGTGTGCTGGCGAGCACCTGCAATCCCAGCTACTCGGGAGACTGAGGCAGGAGAATCACTTGAACCAGAGAGGCAGAGTTTGCAGTGAGCCAAGATCATACCACTGCACTGCAGCCTGGGCAACAGAGCAAGACTCCATCTCAAAAAAAGAGATGCTTAGTGCATCAATAAAAATTTCACCAAACTATCAATTTTTAGGCATGTTGGCATGGAATCTGAATCATGCAAAACTCAAGGAAGTGGAAAAAATACCTTTCACATTTTAAAAAGCTCATGTAAACAGCATAAATATGCTGTTTTGTAACAATTAAATTATTATGAATTCATCTTTGGTGTTTTTAGATCCAGGGAAAAGAATCCCAGACTCACAGAAAAATAAAATGGAGAAAGAGGGAGGAAGTGAAGGGTATGACAGGATGTTCTAAAATGGTTGCTAGATAACCATAAAAACAAGGACAGTAATAACACAGCTAACCTCTTGTGAGCATTTAAGTATGCTTCAATGACCGCTTTAGTCACTTTGTAATTTCATTCAATCCTATTGCCACCTGCTATGATCTGAATGCCCCCAAAATTTCATAGGCTAAAACTTAATTGCCAATGTGATAATATTAAAAGGTAGGGCCTTTAGAAAGTGATTAAGTCATGAGGGCTCCTTTAATACAGATTATCAACTTAATAAAAGGGCTAGAAGCAACTGGCCAGCCCCTCTTTGCCTTTCCATCCCTCTGACATGTGAGGATACAGCATTTGTCCCCTCCAGAGGACACAGCATTCAAAGTGAAATTTTGGAAGCAGAGATCAATCCCTCATGAAACACTGAACCTGCCTGAATCTTGATCTTGGACTTCCTAGCCTCCATAACTGTAAAGAATAAATTTTAACTAGTAAATCATCCAGTCTCTAGTATTCTTATAGCAGCAAGAACAGATGAAAACACCAACTCCTTTAAATAATTGTAATTGGTTTCCCTAACTTAGGGATGAACAAACTCAAGCCTTGAAGTTGAAGTAACTTGTATAAGATCATGCAGGTTATAAGCACCTGGTACAAAATGGACCCAGGATGTCATCACAAAAGTGTCTGTGGACAGTCAGATAACAGGACTAACTTAGAGATCAGAGCCCACCAAAGACACAGAGCATTTCACGTAACCCTTCCACAGGCAGATCTCAAGAAACTTCCTTCAACTTTTTCTTCATGGTGAGTCAACTGATGAGTATCAGGTCATGTGAGTGGCATCTAAATCAAGATGTGATTCACATTATTTAGGACCCTTATCTAATACAGGACCTGGTATCCAAAAATGAAAGGTTGTGTCATTAGCCCACATCGTTATCACAAAGACTCCTCTAGCAACACATCTAAAAACAATTAATTAAAGAAAACCAATGAATCCATTCAACCTCCACAAATTAAATTAATTCATAATTAATAAGATAACAGCAATTCACTAGGCTATAATATTTTAAACTAGCAAAGCAGGGTAATAATAAAGTAATCAATTTTATCTCCTATAACAAAGAGACCTTAACACAGAATTTACTTATCTGAAGGAAACAGGGTCAGCACCCCATAGGGAGTGAATGTAAGAAATAAATTAATCAAAAGGATCCTGAGGAAAGAAATTTTCCTGTTTCAAAATCAAAGGAGTCTTTCTTCCAATAAAATTGACATCTCTATTCTTCAAAATGTGAATATATAGATAAATAATGAATAACTTACCTGCTGATCATCACCATCTATGTTACAGACACAATTATAGAATTTCTATAGTGTAAGATTTAGTGGAGGCACAAGCTGTATTGCTGTATATGTAATTTTGGAAAAGCTATTGTTCTGCAAATAAAATATTACATAATTATCCCTGGAACTGTTGCATGAAAGAGTACAATAGTGATAAGAATTCATGAAAAAGAAATAAGAAGTAAATTCTAAAATGTGTCTTAAGTACAGGAACAATGGGGCCAGATTTGGGGGACAAACAGGAAGTTAATGAAGAGATATGTACCATTTCAGGAGTCTGAAACTTTTGTTCTAGAAGAATGTGAAAGCAGATGTTACGATAAGGATGATTCAACCAAAAAGAATTGGTCAACAGAAATTCTAATGAAAGATAATTTGTTGTTCTTACAGGAAGTCGTTTAAGATTTAAGACTAGTTTCCACAAGCACATCTCACTATTATGATCCAACACTGCCTTGAACCAGAAATCAAGAACATCAACATTCTCTTTTCCAAACTATGTGTTCCTCCTCATATACATATGTGTCTTTCAATGACATATCATTTAAGGCAATTTTCTTTCATTATTTTTCTATGGTTAAAATTTGCTATCACCAGATGAAAAAGTTGGCATGTTGGTTGTGTTCTACTAAATGAATACTTGGTGTATTAATAAACTGACTAGGATGTTTTCAAATCAATTTACTGAAACTCTGTTGGAAATGGTGTTCAGCAAAGTTTCCTCAATGTGATTCCCCATACCCTAGCTCCACATTAAAACAACAACATAATAAAAGCCTTTGCTCCCGGTTGGAACAGAAAAATAATTTTTTCTTCATAAAAGGGCTTAATGTATTAATGTATAGTTTACGTGACATGAATTTTACCCAATATAAGGAGTTCTCTTTTAATAAATGCACACAGTTTTGCAACCATCAGTAAAATTCAGTCTTCAAATGTTGTCAATAATTCCCCAAAATTTCCTTGGGCCTGGTCAACTTCTATTTCTTCTCTCAACTCCAGAAAATCACTGATAATGCCTACTGTCTTTATAGCGATCTCATTTTTCTAGCTGTTTCTCATAATTAAAATCATACAATAGATGGTCTATTATGTTTGTCTTCCTTCATTAGCATAACATTTTTAAATTCATTCATAATATCTTGTGCATCAGTACTTAATTTCTTTAATTGCTGAATAGTATTCCATTGTGTAAATAAATCACATTTTGTTAATTCATTGACAGACACTTAGATTGTTTGCAGTTTAAATCTATTATTAATAATACTGCTAGGAACGCTTGCACATACCAGTCTTTGTGAGAACATGTTTTTATTTTCTTCTAGGTAAGTATCTAGAAGTTGAATTGTTGCATTTTATGGTAAATACATATTTAACTTTTCTAAAAACTGCCAAAATGTTATCCAAACTGATGGTATATCTGTATTCCCAGCAGCAATGTGTAAGACTTCCAATTTTTTCAAATAGATACCAAAACATGATCTTTACAATCTTTCAAAAGGCATCTTCATATCTGCTCTAGAGAGTATATTGATAATTCACCATAGTAGTTTTAATTTGCTACTAATGATGAGCATCATTTTATGTGCATAGCAATTCATATATCTTTAATCTTTACATCATCTTTTGTGAAGTGTATATTGACATATATTACTCAATTTTTAGTTGAGTCATTTGTCTTTCTATTAGTGAGTTGTAAGAGTTCTTTATATATTCCAAATACAAATTATTTTTCAGATATATAATGTTCAAATATTTTCTCCCATCTGTAGCTTATCTTATTTTATTAATAGAATCTTTTGAAGATAAAATTTTGGTGACTTGAAGACAAAATGTTTTAATTTTGGTGACTCAGAGTTCTCCAGAGAGTCAGAAACCAATAAGATTAGCATAGTAGTCCATTTTCACACTGCTATAAAGATACTACCTGAGACTGAATAATTTATAAAGAAAGAAGGTTTAATTGACTCTCAGTTCTACATGGCTGGGGAGGCCTCAGGAAACTTGCAGTTATGGTGAAAGGCCAAGGGGAAGCCTGACATGTCTCACATGGGGGGAAGGATGGAGCAAGCAGGAAGAGGGAAGTGTCAGACACCTATCAAACAACCAGATGTCGTGAGAACTCACTCACTATCACAAGAACCAGAAAGAGAAATCTGCTTCCATGATGCAATCGCCTCCCACCAGGTCTCTCCCGCAACACATGGGGATTACAGTTGGAGGTGAGATTTGGTGACGACACAGAGCCAAACCAGATAGATAGATAGATAGATAGATAGATAGATAGATAGATAGATAGATGATTGATAGATCTAAGATGATAGATATAGACAGATTAGATAAGATGATGATTGATAGATATGATAGATATAGATAGATGTAGATTATAGATAGATAGATGATAGATAGATAGATGATAGATAGATAGATAGATAGATAGATAGATAGATAGATAGATAGATTTGTTAAGGGAACTGACTCACATGATTATGGAGGCTGAGAAGTCCCTTGATAACTGTCTGCAAGCTAGAGACTCTGGAATGTCTTAGACCCTGGAATGGCTTAATTGAAGTCCAAAAGCCTCAGAACCAAAGAAGCTGATAATGACACTCTTAGTCCAGAAGGCTGGTAGTATAAGTCACAGAGTCCAAAGGCTACAGAGCTTAGAGCATAGATGTCCAAGTGCAAGAGAAGGTTGTCCCAGGTCCAGGAAAAAGAGTGAATTCACCTTTCCTCTGCTGTTTTGTTCCTTCCAGGATGCCAGCTGATTGGATGGTGCCTGCTTATTTTGAGGGCAGATCTTTCCCACTCAGGCCACCATTCACAAGCCAATCTCCTCTGGAAGCACTCTCAGAGACATAACTAGAAATAATGCTTTGCCAACTCTCTAGGTATTCCTTAATTCAGACAAGTTGACCCCTAACATGAGTAATCACAGTGAAGAAGTCATACCTACCAAATTTTATTTTAGGAATTGTGCTTTTTGTGTCCTACAAATTACTGTCTAAGCAAAGGTCAAAAACATTTTCTGTTATGTTTTCTTCTAGACATTCTATAGATCTCATCATTTAGATTCATATTTCATTTTGCGTTAATTTCATTGGGTGTGATTCATAGAGAAAGGTTTGTGATTTTGCATATGGATATCTAGTTTCTGCAGCACCATTTGTTGAAAATACTATTATTTATTTATTAGAATTCATTTATACCTTTGTTGAAAATCAATGCACTACGTATGTGTGGGACAATCTCTGGGCTCCCTACTGTGTTTCATTGGTCTAGATATCTACATTTTCTCCAATATCACAGTATTAGAGTGATCTTATAATAGGTCTGTAAAGCAGGTAACATCAGTCTTCAGGTCTTCCCTGATTATGCCTGCAGTTTCCCATCAACCAGGAGTGTGTGGAGAGCTTATCTAGCCCTTCTGTTTTTCCTAGCTCCTGAATCACTGTTAAATTTCTATCTGATTTGTTCTTTCCTTCAGATGGTCTGCAACCTCAGGTTAACAGAGCTCTGTATTGTCCCCATTTGTTTTCTACAAAGCTTGCTGCTTTTGTGAATAATGCCAGTGAGCATGAGCTTTTATTCTCTGCTCCAAGTAAAAACTGAACCAATGGCAGCAAAGCTTAGGCTAAAGATTCCCCTGGTTTTTACTCTAAGTTATAGCAGCTTTTCATAAATAAACAATTTTAAATTTGTTGTTTGCCCAAGTCAATCTTCAGAGCACTGAAATGGTTATTTTTCATAATTTTATTCAGTTTCATATTTATATTTTGTAGAATGGATTCACAGGACTCTTTATATTGCCATGGCTAAAAGTCTTATCCTAAGGAAAATATATTTAATATATGTCTTAGTCCATTTTTTCTTGCTATAACAGAATACCTAAAACTGGGCAATTTATAAAGAACCAAAGTTTATTTCCTACAGCACTTAAGACTAAGAAGTCCAAGGTCAAGGGGCCAGCATCTGGCAAGGGTCTTCTTGCTGTATCATCCCATGGCAGAAGGCAGAAGGGCAAGAGCATGTGAGAGAGGTGGGGGGTGATGAATTCACCTTATCAGGTACTCACTCCCATGATAATGACATTAGTCCATTCATGAGAGCAGGACCCACACCTCAGTACTGCTGCATTGGGAATTAAGTGTTCAACATGTGCTTTGGGGGCATACATTCAAACCATAGAAATATATATATCTTTAAAAATTAAGCTATCTGTCTAGAGGGGATAGGGTCACAGTTGCATAGTAGGGTTCCTTAGGTCTATCCTTGTCTTACATTTGATGGGCAGGCTGCTTTCATACTCTCCACTCAAGAGACCCAAAGTCTTGCCTGATGGTGTGGCAGAGGGAACCCTTCTCTATGAAATCGACCAGGGTTTTCAATGATAAACATAAATAATTAACTAAATTAACAGATAGTTGAATTTCTAAAAAACAACATCACAAATAGAAAGGACGGATTTGTTTAAAAAACAAACTGAATGGCTTGCCTCAGTAAAAATAAAAAGTCTGGGTATTTTTTATTCATATTCAAAGAGAGATTTTTGAAGATGCCACATCCATGAAACAGGTTGATATGAAAAAGGAGCAAACAGGGCTAACAATCTTTCATTGTGAAATTAAAAATGAAGAGAAAAGGAAAAATCAGGACATGGAGAAAAAAGACAAAGAGAAAGATAACATGACAGAAAAAACTGGGATACAGAAGACCAATTTCCATTCAATACAAGTTTAAGAAGAAAAAACAGAGGAAATAGAG